ATACTAGAAATATATACATATATATATATATATATATATATATATATATATATATATATATATATATATATATATATATTGATGCAAAGAAAAACACAATACCGGTTGATAATATGGAAGAAAAAAAAAACAATGCACAAACTAGATTTATTGATGAAAGTGAGACAACAGTTTCGGAATCGTCCTCGATTCCATCTTCGGGTCTGAAGAAGCAAGTTCAGTTCAGTTCAGTTAGATTTGCGAAGTCATGCTTCGCCCGGGCCTTTTCTCTGGGGTGGCCCGGCCTGTGTTAGCTATTTCTAGTTAACTCAGATGTTTTCTTGAACTGCATGCTTACCGCGGTGGCTGGATTGCAAGCAAGCGATCCAGCTGCCATGGTGAAAGCATGTTGCACACCCTTTTTACCAGCCCGGCGGCTGTGGTGGGTGGTCCCTGCCTCAGAAATTGTGTGTGTACACAATTCTGCAAGTAATGTAACAGTGTGGCGTTAGGCTCGCCGCAGTGTTTACATGACCTCCCAGACTCACTGTCAATAATTTGCCAAGCGCATTGGTAACCTAGTCTTAGTCTGAATAGTATGACTTCGGTACCTCTTTTTGTATTTGGAGGAAGGGCCAGTGGCTCATAGCCTGAAGCATCTGAGTACCACTTAGCAGCGAGCGATTTTGTGATGTTTTCTCTATGTGCTCCCCGGAGGACCGCACACGCTGCAGCTTTGGTACCTTGGCTCAGTCCCCTTCGGCTGGGTTTAACGATCATGGAGGATGGGGGCATACCCCTGCCCTTTTCGGCTAGTTTATCAGCAAGCTCGTTCCCTTGTATGCCTATGTGGCTTGGGACCCAGTTTATGATGATTCTTCTACCTTGACTAAGGATTCTTTGGGCTATGTATAGTACTGTTGTCAAGAGGTAGATGTTATCTGGGGGCATGCTATGCTGTAAGCTGTCAATAGTTGCTCTTGAATCTGTATGAATGACAACGTGCCCTCCCCTCAGGGACGCGTGTGTCAATGCTTCCATGATCGCAACCGTTTCAGCCTGAAGCGTTGAGGCATTGTCAGTGACCCTAATGGATGCTGTGGTATCCTTTGTTAAAAGCCGGCGCCTGCAGTATGGTTTATTGGATCCACGGATCCGTCCGTGTAGTAAGTTATATTACCGGCGGAGTTATTTGTTCAATGACCCTTTGTGCTTGTGCCTTTAGGCTAGGCATGGAATATTGATCTTTTCTCATTGTGAGATTTAGAATTGAGAATTCGATCATTTCGTTTGCCCACGGCGGGGGTTCTTTGTAATCAGGGTGAGGGGAGTCCATACCCTTGGCAAGCAATGAATCTTTTAGTTGAAAGCGTATCAAAACTCTGGCTGTGTGTGTGAGCCAGGAATTGTCTGCAAACAACTGATAGTCTTGTTGTAGGCGTCTGAGAACTCTTTGTCTTAGATAGGAGTTTGTGGGTGCCTACAGGACCTTGGAAAGGAACTGTGCTGCCATTAGATCTATTCTAGTGTCCATGGACGGTAAATCAGCTTCCATGAGGAGGTTGATGACCTTTGTCCACTTAGGTGCACCTAGAATTATCCTGGCTGCTTCGTTTTGTATTGTTTCCAGTTTTTCTTTTAATGTTGTGCTGGAAGCAATGAGGGCGACATATGCTTAGTCAATAATAGGACGGACAGCATGTACATAGAATGATCTTAGTACTTTGTGTCCTGCTCCTATGTGTCTCCCTGTCATGACTTTCATGACTAACAGTCTTTCCTTGGTTCTGTCAAGCAGGTATTGGATCTCCTTTTTGAAAGTGAGTGTGTGTCCTATCCATACACCAAGGTATAGATAATCCTTCACCCATTCCAGATCCATACCCTGTATGGTGAGTTTTTTGTTTCTGACATTGGTTCTCAGAGCCATAGCTTTGGATTTTGCTGCTGATATTTTTAGACCCGTCCTACAACACTCTTCAGACAACGTTGAGCTCTAGTTAGGCAGTGATTGCCAGAGGCTATGATTGCCAAGTCATCTGCATAAGAGATGATCTTGCATCCCTCTGGCAGGTGAATGTCGAGTATGTTGGACATGAGGGTATTAAACAGGGCTGGACTAAGAACCCCTCCCTGAGGAGTTCCATTTTCAAGTGGCATGTGCTGTGAGAGGTGGCCTTGAAATCTGACATTTGCTGATCTATTTTTAAAATAGTCAGCTATCCAGGCCAAGAGTCTGCCTTTGACTCCTTTGTGGATTAGGGTCTCATGAATGGCAAGTGAACTTGCCAACTCAAAAGCCTTCTCCAGGTCAAGGAAGACAACCATGGCGGGCGAGGTGCAGATTGTGCTTAAGAGTGTGGAAATGCTATGAGCAGTGCTCTTACCCCTTGTGAACCCGTGCAGGTGTTCATGGGGGGGACCCGTTTTCCATCGGAGCCTGTTGAGTACCATCTTCTCAGCTGTTTTACCCAGGCAGCTGAGAAGAGAGATGGGGCGGTACTTGCCAGGCTCCTTTGGCTTTGGGATGGGAACTATTGTGGCTTGTTTCCAGCTCTGGGGCACCGTGGCTGTTCGCCAGGATTTGTTGATAACCTGCAAGAATGCAAGTTCTCCTGCAAGGCCTAGATGCGAAATGATGGGGTGAGAGATCCCATCAGATCCCGGTGCTGACCCAGAACTGGATTTGTATGATTTTCTTAGTTCCCTAAGAGAGAACAAGGCATCTGCTTCATCAGCTTCGAGTGCCTCGTCTCTTATGAGAGCAAGTCTTTCTGGATTTAAGTTTTGTTGTTTTTCTCTCATCATTGGAGGCAGATTGTTGGTGCTGGTTCTGGCAGAGAACTCAAGCACCAATCTGTTAGCCTCTGATTGTGGGTCATGATGAGTGCATTTCGGGGCTTGGCGGCTTGTCGCTTGCCTGACCCGTTTCCACAACTCTGTAAGGCTGGTCTGGTGCCCAAAAGACTGGCACCATTCCAGCCATTTTTCCTCCTTACTCTGTTGGCAGTTTCCTTGGCATCCACAACAGCTTCCCTCAGCAGGGCCAGATTGTCGGGAGATCTTTGCCGTCGGAAGTTTTTTCTACACATATTAACCCTGTGGTTGACCTCTTTGATCTCGTCATTATAGTACCAGGCGTCTTTTGTGAGTTCTGGACCATGGGCGAGTTTTGGGGATGGTTTGTGAGGCTGCCTGGTTTATGGCCTGGATTAGCCTTGCCTCTAGCACATCCACATTTTCATTATTGTTATTGGGTTCATTGTCTTTCAGACATCGAGCCAAGCCTTCTTGGAAGGCAAACCAGTTGGCCTTGTCAGTTTTCCATTTAGGAATGTGATGTGGTCTTTGGGCTGGACCTGCATCCAATAGTGTGGTGACTATGCCGTAGTGATCACTAGTAACCGTATCATCGACACACCACCGAATTCTCTCCACCATTGTTGCAGTGGCAAAGGTGAGGTCTAGGACCCCTCCCTTCACATGCGTTGGTTCTTTGGTGTTGAGAAGAGCGATCTCAGGGAATGTCTCAAGCACTTCTGCTACGTGAATGCCTGCCGCGTTCGGCCTTTTGCGGGGATTCAGCATGGCCATGTGTGCATTGAAGTCTCCCCCTATGATCACTCGGTCTTATGCTGCAGTAGCACAGACCTGGTTTAGATCTAAGCTCTCACACAGTGGTTTGCTATAAATATTGTATATTTTTATAAAGCCCCCAGGTAGCTGAATCTCAACAGCAAGAGATTCAACACCATCTCCACAGTGCGGCGGTTTGGCTATTAAGGAGCAAGGGATAGCTTCTTTTACCAGGGTCATCAGGCCTCTAGCACCATCCAGGTTTGGAGTGGTGAAGGCATGATATCCTGAGAAGCACACGGATCCCATTGTTAGTGTCTCCTGGAGCATGACGACGTCAATGCTCCTTGCTCGCACAATGGACTGGAGAAAGGAGTTCTTGCTTTTATAGCTACAGATATTCCACTGCAGTATGCTTAGATTGTGTGCCATGATGGTTACTCAGTGTCACTTGCTTCATCTTCCGATGCCCCAGTGCTGGTGGCATCAAATAAATACAGATCCTCGTTGATTGAGGATTGTACAACTTCCTCTAAGTCAGACACTCCGGTTAAGGCCTTACCGAGGGGTGTAGGGCCTAGGTTGGAAGTGTCACCTCGGGTCGGAGGACGAGACTTTGGCTGTACAGACTCGGCCTGCTGCACAGTTTCAGCCTGTCCTGACAGACTAGCTGGGGTTTTATGTGATGTTTCTTTTGAAGCTAGCCTGCCATCCGAGGATTTAGGGAGGGGGGCGCTGCTCGTTATCGGTTTGGAGGCTTCTAGCTTCCTTCCCTTCAGAGCCGCCACAGTTTGGGTCATAGCCGTCATGGCGACCTACACTGCTTTCTCCGCCTCCTCATTGGTCCTCCCCAAGGCTGTTGCTACTGCAGAAACTACAGCACTCAACAGGAGAGTCATGAACTTGAAGAAGCAAGGGAGAGTAAGCGGTATAAGAGGGAAAGGAGGAGAAGCACTCGGGAACCACGGGGCAGGTGAGGACAGGAGAACGGAAGCGAAGAGAAGCGCACGCACACGCACACCCACTTGCACCCCCCGCACAGAAATGCAGAAATTCATATACCTTCTCGTAACAAAAAAAATTACATTATATCACGCATTATCATCCCTATAATGCGTAATGTACATTTATTTAAACATCAATAAAGTGGCATATGAACAAGAGATTTTAACCAACAACGCAACTTGTTGCAGTCCATTATAGATTATACAAAAATATTTTTGTATACTGTCAAGACAGAGTTACACTAAACATTTAATTCTGAAGACTTGAAATGTCGTATTACTTAGTGGATATTGCAGAATATTCTTGATCAATCATAATCACATTAATACAGCAACATAATAAAATATAGTATGAAAAATAAAACAAAATATGAATACACTCGTACCTCATCCTTCGCTTACTCTTCAGCCAATCAGCGAGTCTCAATGTAATGACGTCAT